AGGTTAGAAATAGTGTGATACTTCATGTACAGGTAAACTAGTGATAACGTGCACTCACATTTGTCTTCTGAGGTTTAAAAAAATAATTTCCTCACCTGCACTAGGACTTTTTTTGTAATTTACCACAACTCTACCACTAATGGTAATACTGTGACATTTCAAATTTACTTAAAGGTGATCTCCAGCCATTATTTTAACAATTGTCATCCAAAGGAGGTTAGATAGCTTCTGTCTGAAATGCTAATAACTGCCTGGAGTCTCATCTGCTTTTGCCTTGCTTCTTCCTTCCATTTGAATAACTCAGGGGAATGAATAACTGGGAATTTTAACAGAAAAGTCTGCACTGTAAGTACAATCTCTGCCATCTATCTTGCATTCTTACATCAGGGGTAGCCTATTGCCTCCTAAAGTTTTTTTATCTCTTTACTACACCACTACTAACAGTGTTGTTATTGGTAGTAGTAGTAGTAATAATATTGCAGTGTGTTGTAGGGCATCCACTGAGCTTAGTGGTCTCTAAAGACTCAACAAGAACTAGCCGTTCCCATGAAGATCTTAGGGTCTTCATGGTCTGGACTTACAAAGAGCAAGAAATATTTCTTACATCCACTGTGAATAAGCCTTCTAAGAAACATATACTTTATAATCCAAAAAGCATAATTATACTCTAATTATACTGTAGTTACCTTTTTAACATAAGAGTTCCACTAATCCAAATAACGAGGTACTTCATGGACTGGCCAAAAATAATTACAGTGTAAAATGACATAATTAATATACCTGCATTTAAAAATATACAGTCAGATCCTCAGCTGAGTTAAATCATTATCTCTCTGATGATATCAGTCTGTTTCCTGTGCATTAAAAAGCAAATCATGGCACCAATAATATCTCAATTATGTAGTTAACCTTCTGGTTATATTAATTAGTGATGATTAGGCATGGGAAACCATAATTATGTCACGTACATAACATCCCTTTGAAATTGCATCATGAATTCAAACACAAAAGGCAGATGTGAACACCTACCCAGGTCCATTTCTGACATCTAGAACAAATCTGAAACTCAATGATTTGACCCTTTATCTCCTATCTGAAACACATCCAGTGGTGATAGCTCTGCTGGTGTCAAACTTGCAGAAGAAACTTCAGTTTGCATGTGTCCCAGAAGAGAAATGCAAGGTAGAACTGTCCCATATTCTGATTTCACATGGTGGTTACTAAAACCCAACTTTAAAAAAAAAAAGAGACAAACAAAACACCTAAGTCTACTTCAGTTCCTAAAGGAGGAAGCCCTGAAACTAAAGAAGCACCTTTTCTCTACCTCATCACATTTACCCATTTGTCTGGGGTATGAACAGCTAAAAATCAGCACCTCTTGCTCCTGTTTGCAGGACATCCTGGCAGTCAGAGCATTATTTGCACAGGACCTTTCTGAAGACTTGCTCCTCACAGACTCAGAAACCACAGTGGTAGACACTGTACTGGGGAAACTGGTTTTCCTGAGGCAGATATCTGAGAAGGCCATGGTATCGTGGAGTCAGAGCAAGTAGGATTTTCCACCACTGTCCTCATGCCTAACTTAAGACTGAAGTTTTTCACCTTCAAGGATAAAGAGAAAAGCCAATTTGAGCTAACACACTTCCCCCAGTATATCAGAGAGATGCTTAATCCCAGCAGACCATTCCCTCACAGCAGGACTACAGCAAATAATTAATGTGTAGGTCATTCAGTCCAAATTTAGAAAAATATTAAGCATTTTACTTTCATATAGGCTTCTACCATATACTGAAACCCACAGAAACTCTGCACTGCAATAGGAATTATGGACCTAAACATTTGTACAAGTCCAGGGTTATTCCTCTCATTCAGATGGCAGAATCCTGCCATTTCTGCAGGCAAAAGGACAAGTGCAGAAGAACATCACCAAATTTCCATTAAAATTAATCCTTTGAAAAGTGAATGTCAGAAGAAACTGTGTATTTTTGACCAAAAAAATATACTTTAAATGGATAGTTTGCAAATGTCAGGTTGAAGTGTTCCAAAGTTAGGAACCACCAAAATTAAGGTTGCCTGTGTATTCTGTGTAGCATTGCACTTGCAGGCACTTTGTGGCTGTTATTACCTGTTTTGCCATTTATTTTTTTTATCTAAGTAACTTGACTTTGAAAGGCTGACTTGCAAATCTGGCATTTGTAATCCTGGGAAACCCCGCTTTACATACTGTTTCATCTATATTTACTCAATTATTACCTGATGTGTTTGCTTTCTGCTGTGCTAGCAGCAAAGGACACTGGTACAACATGGGCCAGAGTTATGTATTGACCCACAGAATCAAAAGTCTTGGGGTCTTCAGTGGATCTACTCTCAGGTGTCAGATCGGTTCACGGTAAACCAGGTTCAGTAGAAAACGCTGCCCTGTGAGGAGCCCAGGTCTGTGAGGTCCTGGGTATATCACAGGCAGAGCAAGGTCTCATTAGCTGGCACTGTCACTTAAAGGACTTTGCAGGATATAACCCAGTATGACTTTGGTAAGACATGCTTCCTGCGGTTTACTTTACCAAACTGTAAAACTGTTGCTTAATATTTACCAGCAGCAGTTCGCAGGCATTGCAAGCTGTTCTCTAACGATACTTCCAATTCAGTCTGAGGTTCCTGAATAAAATATGTGTAGAAGGGTTACTTAATTGTTTTCTTTTTCAGCCTGAAGTTTGTTCAATATAATGTTATAGAAGCAATCCTTGCAAATATCTCACTTCAAGAGAGGTGTTTTTTTTTCTTTTCTTTTGCTCTTGGCAGTGGCTGTGGCAAGAATGACAGCGCAAAACACAACAGAAAGTTATAAACATTACTTTTCCTCAGATAGCAAACAAAATCCTGGATTGCCACCATCCTAGATGGGAAACTGAGCCACTCTGCTTTCAGAAATTCCCACCCTTGTCTCATCCTGGGGCTGCAGGGTCTGTATAAATTGAGCGCAATATTAATGCCATGTCAATTGATTCTCTTGGCCTGTATGGATGCTGATGCTTTTGAGGTCAGCCCAAAGATGAGCTTCACCTACAGCCACTCTTTGGGGCTCCTTGGGAGTGACAAACTGGGGACCTGCCAATCAAAGAGTATGGGCCACCCATATCTACAGCTGCCTAAAAAGGGACACTAGCAGAGGAATAAACAATTGAGGCCTTTTGGCCCCACTCTTTGATATGCACCTCCTGACACCCAACAAAAAGGTTGCCATAATCTGGTAGCAGGCATGAGCCTCCCCTTCCCCACTGTCATCCTTTTCTCCATTCTGCCATGCAGATTTCTTTTTCCTAACCCCACACCACTCGCTTACGTCAGGATCCATCCCTGTCACAACTGGGCACGTTCTCTGCTCCTCCTGCCAGTGTGTTCTTCCCTTCCTCCTCTCAGCACTTTCTTTCCATCAAGTCCTCTTACACTGCAGAGCTTTGCACAGCATCTGAAGAGTTGGGACAGGACAAACCATGCCAGGGGCCGTTGTCACAATTTAACAGCACAGATGATTGATTTAGGCTTTGGCATGGCTTTTTTTATCACTATTAATGAGGTTGAGTCAATCATGCAATTCCTTGGGGTCTTTTGCCTCAGTCCTCCCTTTCCCTTCTGGAATCTTGAGCATCCACTCCATCCCACTCCATCCCACCTCAGCCAGCTGCTCCAGAGATGCTGGGTGCAGGACTGAGGAGGCCACAGCTCATCCCCCTTGGTTAGTGACACAGATGCATTATCAGGGGACAGACAAAAATAGGAGGCAAGGGGTTGGGGGATGTACACCTACAAGACTCTTCTTGAGGGGACAAGCAAGAAAATGTAGGGTTTGGGGAGCTCGAGGTTTTTAAGAAAAATATAAGACCCTTGTCCAAATCTTGACTCTAGCTTGTGGCTTTGCTTATTTAGTTATTTCTCACCATAGCATAGGACTTGGGCTTGAGTGTTTGAAGCATGAATGGAATTTAAGAAATTAACTCTAAAGATACAGAGTTCTGTCCACAAGTAAAGTTTCCTGCTATCAAAAAGCAAGCATGAAGGTTTTTGGGTCTTGGCTGCCACTGCTGAGATTTTGCATAGAGTCATTGCTGGGGTTCAGGCTCGTGATATGGTGAAACTCTGACAAACTTGGATGCGATTGCACCAAACAACGCTGCCTCAGCAAGCCGTTTTGGGCACGTTTCCCTCTTCCTTTCCAATGTACCTTTCCAGCAAACTCATTAACCACACAGATGCACTAAAAGTGCTTGGAACAGAAATGAGAACAGAAGGAACGAAAACAATTCTTCTGCTAAAAGAGCTGGGTTTTACATTTGTTCTTCATCTGCACCTTCCCCTGCCTGGGTGTGACACAAAGGAAATCTCTGCAGCTGATCTGGGACTTCACAAACCGAGGGATTATGCGCTACAGATACTGACAGGCCCCTTTGCTTACAGCCTGGCAAACACCACAACAGTAATCTCCTCTCTGAGATAAAGCCCGTCAATCTTATTCTAACACCAACCCGTTCCCCTCTGCCCCTCAGACAGAGCTGGAAGAGAAGCCCTCCTCGGGAAGGATGCTAAAATCTTTCCTTCCTCGGTGCCCTCCTATTTTAACTTACTCTTTCAGCTGGCCTCCCATCAAAGTCAGGTCAACACACATCCATTTTCTGTGCTGAGCTGACTAGTTTTCAATAACAATTTCTCCTTCGTTTTGTAACAGAGATCAATAAAACTGCCCCTTTCTCATATTGGCCGAGATTCCAGCAACGTCATTTGCTCTTTATTGTTGCTACTGCTTTGTTTTGTTTCTTTTTTCTTTTTTTTTTTTTTTTTTTTTTTTTTTTTCTTCTTTTTTTTGGCAAGGCACAGATCAATTTAACAAGATGAAAATGACTTAGACTTTCACTCAAGGTAAAATCTGCACTTTATAACCCAGGATGTAATTTACAATCCTGTCATTAAGCTCTGTTAATCCTATTATTATGAAGATAAATAATTACCCATAGCGAAGAAAGGGATTCCCAACAGAGTAGAATTATATTTTCCATCAGTAATGAAAAATATCCCTGCCGCAGTGACACTGGAAATACAGATAGTGAGTACTCCCAAGAGTCCCAGGAAAGGTTTGCTACGCAGGCAGTCCTTCATGGAGCTCGAGAGGGTAGCAGTCAGGAGAATCAGCATCAGGCTCACCAAAATTTTGCCCCTGGCCAAGAGACTGGTCTGGTGGAAGTCCTTCCAGAGGCTAAAGGACGCTAGTGAGTAGAGCTGCAGATCTTGGTGATCCAGCTGCATCTTGTGCATCAGTTTACAGAATTCACTCTCCCACTTCTCCCCAATGAGGTCCTGGGTGACAGAGCCATACGTTTGGAGGTAGTAAGTGATTTGGATGGCTCTGGCTGATTTGACTCTCTGGTCCTTGCTGTTTGGCACTTCCATGACCCCTCCGAGCTGGTGGCCAATAAAACTGTTCCTTCCATCCTGGGAGAGAAAGTAAAAAAGATGAGCATGTGGTTATCCTGCGTAAGATGTGATACAGTGATACCGTTTGGCTCTACCTTCCTTTCACAGACATGCCGAGAGCTCCACTCAAAGGCCACTGCAGTCAACAGGAGTCGTGCCGTTCACTTCAGTGGGCTTTGGGACGCATCCCTGTTCCCTGCCGCGACTCTGTTTCTTACTCATTTTAGGCTCATTTGCAATTCTGTGCTGCAGTTCAGGGACTGCTCTGATACTCATTGCGGTCCCAGATGTTCGGGGACTGAAACGTAGCATGCAAGCTCCTCACCCCGTGGGAGAGGATCGCTTTCCCACGTTTTAACTCCGACAGACAACAAATCTCCAGTTACTGAGGTATGAAAGTTTGAGATGAAGATCAATTTCTGGAAGATTTGTGATTTCCTGACACTTTGGAAATGCTTTTAAAAAGTTGTAAATGTACAGAAAATGAGGCCTGGTTCCTCAGTATACAGATGTAAATGTAGACGGATCCACAAAGTTTAATAGCTACTCTGGCTCCAGAAAAATATAATTAAAATCAGACTTCTTGAATTGTTTATTTGAGATTTCATGGATTTCTATCAGCGGCACAGAGAAAAGAATCTACCCTACACCTCAATTTAGCCAGGATTTGGTGGCTTTGTATTTCAAGAATATGAACCTTACTCTGTTCTCACTTATTTCAGTATATGCTAGGACATAAAGTACTCCGTGACAATCAGTAAAGGACACATCACGTGCACTCAGGATCAGCTCCTGCCTATTTACAAGACCAGATCATTTTTTTTGGTAGAGTTATCTGGTCACATTTAGATGATTTTTTTTCTTTTTTGTAAGAAAGGTCCTGTGAGGAAGGTCCTTGCTTTTAAGCCTCTGGTTATTCTAGTTCTCTAGATTAACAGTGATGTGCGCCTTTCAAGACAGGGGAAGCTTGCGTGGATTTAGAAGATCAAACGCAGTTGCAAACTGAGGAAGAAGACTCAGTAGATATTGGATAAAAATGTCCTACCACAAGTAATCTCTTTGATCAAAAAACTCTAAACCCAGGGATTAATGTCTGTTGCACACCAAATAACAAGATTTTGTGCTTTTTTCCCTGTAAATGGAATTATAAGTTTTCAGATTTCTTTCCTCTTGTATTTAATAAAAACATAAAATTGTCAAACCAGTCAATGTACAAACCATCCTGCAGCAGCGAGTTCACATGAGATAATACTTTTTGCCTAGATGGGCTATGGGAATGAGCTGACTGACAGCTTGAATTTGGGAGATGCTCTGCTCTACACACGCACATGGAAGCAGTCATCTGCAAAAGGCCAGAAGCATTTGGGGGAGACACATTTAACATCTATTACATCCAACATTAGCCATTTCTAGAAACACCTGTGCTGCACGCAGGTCATTATCTGAAATCGCCAGACCTGCTCGTCGTAATGATTCCCATCCTAAGGAAAAACCAATGAAGCAAGGTACCAGGCTTTATGAAACATAGATGTCTTCCGGCATGTCTGCTCATAGAGCAAATAAATATCAGAAATTGAGAGACAGTGTTGAAAATATTTTATATACTCACCTTGTCCTGTCTCTGGTACGTAAAGGAGGTAATCCTCCCACTGAGGAATTTTTGCCTATGCCTGCTTTCATGGCAGGAGCTCACACTGTTTTCAGCATTTGCCTGCCACAGCCCAGGGAATGTGACAAAGTGCTTTTCAGAAGTTCATTTTTTCCCTATTCCCAGTTGTTATTTCCCACAGAAATAACGGCTTCTGGCGAGGTATCCTGGCACGAGCTGACATAAGAGGTGATTTGCAGTCTAATGCCAGTTTCTCAAATCACCTGAAGCCTCATTGCAAATGTCAAATAAGCAGAGACAGCTAGCACAGAGGGGCAGCTGGTCCTGTTTGGACTCCAAAAAATCCTCTTCTCTGGCATTTTATGTTAGAATCCTGTTTTGATTCATTATTTCTATTTTTTTTTTCTAAAGAGGGGTCACACCTAACACTCACACACCCACAAAAGGTACATTTCCAAGCTGGTAATTAAGGTTTGAGCAATGCAGTCCCTGCTCACATCAGACACAACTTCACAGTTAAAAATCCCCTTTGGCACTGCTTTGAAATTTTAGGGAGAAATGTCATATTTCCTCAGTATATATGCAGTGTTGACATTCAAATGTTTTCAGCCACTGCAGGATACTTTAGCAGCACAGCTCCAAACTCAAACAATGGACTGTAATTCAGGTTTCATTGATTCACTATGCAGCACGCACGGCAAGGTTACGGGAAACTTTGCGATGACCATCTGCCTTCTGCTGCGAAAGGTGCACTGAACGACAGCAACATTTCAAAAGAAGCAACAGAGCAGGCACAAATAAATCATGTTCTGCTGTATCTTCCACGAAACAGAAGATAACAGCTATTTGTTACACTGATGTACAATAGGGCACCCAGCTCATATGTCAGCAAAATAGAGAGTGAGCTTTCAGATGGAATCCAGGAAATCACAGATGCTGAATTGCTTTGAGGTCATTTTGTCCGTCCCTTTCCTTCCAAAGGCAGATTGCTTCCTATCTATGCAAGGGGTTTTCATTTGCTGCTTTTATAGCATGCAAACACGAACCTGCCACCATGGCATTTGGGAAAACGGGACCCTTTTCTAATACAGCTCATATGCTGTCTTTGCCAAATGCTCTAAGAGAGATAAAGGTCCTGTTGTGCTAGGCAGGGCTGTCATTGCAATGGTTACAATCTCAGCAAGGAAGACAGAAGAAAATGGGGAACAGCATCATCTCTCATCCCATTTTACAGATGGAGACTGAAGTGTTGGAAAATGAAGACCCAGTGCTGCCAACGTGACCTTGAGCATTTCCCAGAGGCCTCCAAGCCAGGGACCTAACTACCTCTTGGTGTCTCACTGGCACTTCAGAGGAGTTATTCACCATCCCAAGTTCTCTGTTGTCCTCCAGGACCACGCTGGTGAAAGAAGGAGACATGAACGGCTAAGCTCCTGGGCTAAGCCTAAGTTCTGGGAAACAAAATGAGGCCACAGTGCTTGTATAAATGAGGCCTGAAGACCAGGCAGGTTTTGAACAAGATCCCTCATTCCACCTAGTTCCTCAATGAAAAAAAGCACTTTCTGTTGTCAGCAAGTCCTTCCTGGTATATGCCTACATGATGCTATTTTTAATTTCATAACAACAGTTGCATGTTTCAGACTACAGCTCTCTTACACATTTTACCTACATATGTTGCTACTCTCTAATCTTATATACAGAAAAGCAAACTCAAAAAATAGAGTAATAATAATTCTTATTGATTGTACACCATTTTATACCCGTGTATCTCCAGAGGATCTACAACACAAGATGATAACTGTCTTTAGCAAGGTCACTAGCATGGCTGGAGCCTGAATTTCAGATTCCCAGGTATCCCAGTCCCAAATTCTATGTGCCTTTCTCTCTTTTTTTTTTAATGTCTAACAAAAACTTCACAGTGTCTGTTCTCCCAAAGGACAAAAAGGGCCATCGTCCATTCGGATTGCAGCTAATTCTCTCCAGATCTTTAAAAATGGCATGAAACACAGATCACTTGCTGGGGCATGTAATATGTGATCTTAAACAGGAGCCAAGCAAAAATCTTTGCTTTGATGGATACTAGTAAATTGTTTTTTTGTGTACTCCCTTCTCTTTTTCTAGATGGCCCAAAGCCATTTGGTAAATTCAGATTGTAAAAGGGAGGAGGATGAGAACTAAGGACTCTCAGAGGACTGACAGTTGCTAGACGTGGACAGCATCATCCTCCTTTTCCCCCAGCATGATGGACTTTGCCGCCTGTGTATATGCAGACCTGGTCTTGCACATTGTTGAAAATCCAAACTCCTTGTCCGTTCAGCAGTAAAAATCACTAATGGTGAATGGATGGATGCAGAATAAACCCCTACCATATTTCAGGCTAGAAACTTCTCTGTAAAGGATGCTTGGACCTTTAATATCCTAAAAAGATGTGTAAATGGCATGGGGATGTTTGGCTTGCTCCAGAGCTGAGCGCAGGACCTCTCAGGTTAAACAAAACCAGCTGCTCCTACTGAGCTAAATATCTTTTGCTGGTGTTAACGGAGGCACAGATCCTCTCTGCGTGCAGCCCAGAGAGATACTAGCGATTCTCCCTTACTACTAAATTACCTGGGACCTTTTTTGTTTCCTTAATAATGTCAGTGCAGCTGCTGCAGCCCCAAGTCCCATCCCCAGGTTTCCGTGTGGTCACCAGCCCTGGGCAGGTTGCCTTCTGCTCCCTGCTTTGACCGGCACCAGCCTAGCAGTTTTCCTGCCCTCACAGCTGTGTGGGTGCTCTCGCACACCCACCAGGCTGCTTGTTGTACTTGTCCCTGTGCAGCTATTCTCACCAATGGAGAGAGAGTCCGGGACAAGCGAGCCCCGAGGGCAACGCATTTGAGGGAAAACTGCACCTCGGCTGGCTGGGAACAGGGACACAGCAATGGCCGTGTGGTCTGTTCACTCAGCAAAAATAAAATGTATGAAAGCGGCCATGAGAAGCTGTCCAGGAAGTAGTGCTCTAGGTCTCTGCTGCAATAAAGAGCAACTTGGTTATTTCCAGCTATCTGACGATGATGAGGTTCAGCTCACCAGCTAGTCAAGCAAATTTGTTTTGTAGTCACTGGGAAGAGTCAGGCATATCCAAAGGATGATCCACCCCATCCTAGGGTACAGGTCAAAACCAGACTTGCCTTCTGCAGCTGCCTGTCTATCTCCATTTACAGCAGAGGCACAAGATTACTTAAGACTTGATCCTAGCTTTTATCAGGCTAAAAAGCTAGGAGATATTAACCCACCTTCAGTGACAGCTGCAAACACAAAACTAGCTGACCTGCCTTGTCATTCCTGGCTCACACGGGCCCCTTCACAGGCATGTCCTGCAGGTCAGCAAACATACAGACCTTGAGCCACCTCCCAGGGAAATCAAGGA